CTTTCTTCTCTAAATGATTGAATTCATTCAGTAATAACCTGTGTTCTTTGCTATTCTCTTATAACAACTATTTTGATTACTCTGCAAGTTTGTTATCCTTTTGTTTTGAAAGCAGTGTGTGGAAAATCATGAATAGAAAATAATATTTCATGCTATCTACTGGTATTAACAAACAATTCTACAGAAGAATCTCTATTGATTTCTAGATAAATGGTTTTAGCTGTGTGATACAATAAACCTAATCCTTTGAGTTACTTGTGAGCCCCCAAAACTAGTTAAACTGAGAAGTATATCTAATTAAAAAGGACTGTGTTATATTTATTACTTAACACATTTGTACTATGTCTTCTCCATTGCTTTGTGATAAAAATTAATTGGGGAAAGTATGAGTTCAAATTTTTAACATGAAGATGATACTAAGCAATCCTTCACAAATCAGTCTTTCATCCTATTTATTTCATTGTGTGCTTTTGAGAACAGATAAATATCCTAAATTTTATCCTTCATTTTGAAAGTCAAATGGAACATTAATGTAATTTGACTTAATTCAGAACAATACTGTATTTTAAAGTATCCGTTAATGCATCTGGACAAATAACTTTTATAATAATTACAGTGATAGTACTTATTTGGGTTAACTTCGTTCTGTTTTGTTGTTCCTTAAAGTATTTAACCTTGGCAGCTGCCTGGACTGGTCCTTGCAGTTTTTTGGCATTTTTTTTTCTTCAAAATTTGTCATTGCCTGCTTCCTTCGGTTGAGAAAAAATGATTGTCTCAAGATCACCCAGCTGACCTCATGGCTAAGGTGGGACCAGAACTCTCTTGGTTTCTAACCTGATGCTTTAAGTACTGCAGCATAGCTGAATCTCAGTGTGGTCCATTATCTGATAGTATTACTATGAACCCTAGATTTGTGATTAGTTGGTCAAAATTATTGAGTTTTTTTTTAAATTAAAAAAAGGTATAATACATTTTTAGAATTTAAAAATACTCATTTATGATGCTAGGAATGGTTGTTGGAACAAGAAGAAAGGGCAAGCAAAGAAAATGCTGGTTTGATAACGTGAATAATATCAAAACTGATATAAAAATGAATATCCAACAACTGAAAGAAACTGCACTTGCCTATAAAGCAAGAACTTTAGAATAAATTATAGGAATATCCTAACTTAATATAGCATGGGCCTTGAGTTCTCAAGAATGTTAAACATGTCTCATACAACCTTAAGTCTAGGTTAATTCATCAAAAGATCATTTTGTATCTTTATCAGACTCCTTGGCAAATGTTGGAGATATAATGTACTAGCTCGATACCTGTGCTTCAATACAAAACTATGTGATAAGGCTTAGTTTTGGGGGATGAAAATAAGAAAAAAAATGTGCCTCTGCCTACCAGCATCCATCAGTACTCATCTAGTGTCCTGTCAGTGTGTGAGAGAGTTGAGGGCTGTTTGGAAAGTGAAACAGTATTTGCTATGTGAGCAAGAAGGAGACAGCAAGGAGCCTGAGTGTGGCTTAGCTCAACTGTTCTGTACTAAAGCTGCTTGATGCTGTAAAACTGAAATTGAAACTCCTCTCCTCTGCTTGTGTTTTGCATTTGGAACAGATTTCTTTTCAGGTGGGGAGGGGGAGTAGAATTCCTTAGCATCAGAGCATGTTAATATACATGAAATACTAATGCTCTGATGGTCATTTCGAAAAATCCTTTCTTAGCACCTAGAAGCCAAGAGGAACAAACATGCCAAATTTCAAGTTTGTAGGCTTTACAGTTCTGAAGATTTTGTGATGATATGTGTGTGGTATTTAGCTTTTATATATATAGATTTGAGGGGATTCTATCTGTATAATTTGAGTTTATTCTAATACTTTTGTTTTGGGCTGATACTCAAACATATATTCATATTGTTCAAAAAATAATTTCACATATGTTAATATAAATTATATGCTGACAATTTGAAACATATTAATTAATGAAGTTCATTGGATTTATGCAACTTGTCTTTCATAGTCAAGAAAATGTTTTCCTTTGCTGGAAAGAACTATTGCTCCACACTGAAAATACTGGATTGAAGAATACATGCTTCCTTTCAGCCCTTTTGGCTTTTTTGCCAGTGCAGTGGACAGATTTATCAATATAATTCTACAAGGGTAAAGATTAATTAGTTGTTTAAAAAATAAATTGCTTTATTATCTATTATGATATTTTTGGCTTTATGTGTAAATGTATTTGTATTTTCAATGTTCCCGGCTTGTTATTATTCCTCTTCATTTTCTGTAAATAGAGAATTTACTATTTTATGTAACTAATATCACTTTTTGTAATTTATTATAATGAAGATTTAAAATTAAAAGGAATTCCTTTTTATGTAATGATAAATCTATTTTTTCTGTGTGGGCAATTCAAGTTGCCTATCAGCCAATTGTTCAAACAATAACATTGTATTTTATTGGGAAATCAAAATTTTAGAGCAATTAATTAACTCCTAGATTTTGCCTGCTCTTTCAAACTTTTTAACAGATCCTCATTGAAAACTAGCCTTTTTTAAAGCAAGATTAATTGGTTTGTTATTTTTAATGTTGCTTCTGCCCCAAAATCTGCCAACAAAATTTTACTTTTTTTTTGTGAGACAGTTGAAACTTTATTCTGATGTAAGGTAAGAGCTAATGTTAGTAGTTGCCAGGCTGTGAATAAAACCACAGTTTTTCCCCTTTGATTTAATTCCTGGTATTTTTTTCCTTCTAATAAAAACAGATATAGTAACTGCATTATTTAGCAATAAACATGTTATACTTTGATAGCTATGAAAGATAGGAAGATTATTTTAGGAATTGTTTTTTAATGAGGAATAAGCAAGTTTTGCACTGAATCATCATTGTCTTGTTTAGTTGGATGTTTTTTATCCTGAAACACTGATTCCAAAAGAATGAATCAGAAACAGCATGACGTTTTCTGCAACATTCCTAGTTGCCTTCCTGCTAGATTTCAGATGTCATAAAAATATCCCAATAAAGAAGTACACAATAATTCTTACTTTAAGATCAGAGGTTTCTTTCATGAGCAATTTGGAACATGAAAACCATCATAACACAACTTACAGTAATAACCCATTGCAATGAGGTCCAGAGACAATTCACAATTTACTTCCTTGTTCTTTCTTACTGGCAGTCTCCACATATATCCATGTACATCTCAAACCTCTATCTACCAGCTACTTTTACTTCCTTATTTCTCATCCTTCTATGTCCAAATATATTTATACTTTGCAAAATCATGTTTCACAATTAGCAACTATTCAGCAGGATTACAAATAGTTCTGGTCAGTGGTGCAATTCAACCCGTGTAACGACCGGTTTGGTGAGTGCGCACTTCACACATGTGCACAGCATTTACAAAAGACCATTTTTAGCTATAATACTTTCTGCTGCAGCCCCAGTGAGTAAAACAGCTGATGCACGGCAAGCCTCTCTGCCATGTGAATCAGCTGTGCTCAAAAACAAGGAAATAAAAAACAGGAAAAGGGCAGGGAGGCGGGGCCAAATGATCATCGGAACTACCAGTTCACCCAAATGGATCTGAACAGGTAGAATCCCAACCCTGGTTCTGGTACATTTTGAAACCATCGTATCTAAAACTTTGGTTCATGTCTCTTTATTCTGGGGCCTGCTATCATCCAAAGGCCTATTGAATCTGATAGATCAATAGCCTATATTTTTGTTTCTGACACAGAATAAAAGAGCCAGAGGTTAGCTCACTTAAATTTTAATATCTTCTCTTTCTAAGCAAGTCTTCCTTTTTGTTATTAATCAGACCAAGACTATTTGTTTTACTTACTGAAAGAAAAACAGTCCTTATATCCTACAGGAATTATGCAGCATCCTGCAGAAAATTCTAACTGTATGAAGCAAAATGATTGCAATGTAAACATGTCTTCTCTGGGGAAGGAAAACTTGTATAAACAATGGTGGAAGACTCTAGGAAGGTTACAGTGGATAATAATATCTGAACTCTTAACTCCTGTGTGTCTCTGCGTGTGTACAGTTAAACAAAATATAAGCATAGTTGCCGTCCTACACTGGATTTCCCAGGCAAAAGCACAAATAATAGGGCATGATAATTGCTTCATTCTCCCACAAATCTGCATACTGTCCAACTATCCCTGATTTATATATTTACAAAAATTGGGTACTGTGTGGATATTACTTGAATTTTTAACTACAACCATTATTTAACATTAGCTGTGCTAATTCTTTTGCAAAACATGGAGAGTCACCAGTCCCAGGCTAATAAAGTCCAAATTATGTTCTAGAAAAGAGCATTATGAAGAAATTTAGACATTCCCAAATTAGGAGAAAGTGGGAGAAGCAGTCTGGCAAACTATACATTACTCATGACTGCAGAAGAGACTTTTGTGTTGAACTTAGTCCTTTCTTCCATTTCACATTTTCATTCTATTACTGTTAATAGAAGAGGTCAGGCAAATGACAATAAGGATTAATTGAGGGACAAAAAAATGCTCTGGGGATCAGTTGAGTGGGAGAATGAAGCCTACGACAGAAATAGGAGAGGAGGTATGATACTATTCTGTGAGTAACCTGGAATTGCAAAAAGGGAAGTCAAGACATGCATATAAGCTAGATCTGGGCATGAAAGAGTGCTATGGGATCACTGGTGTATTCTAGGATAGATAGACTTCTTGGGTTAGTACCAGAATGAGAATAAAGCTCAGAGTCAGGTATATGATTCTTACGTGTGTGTATGTTGATTGATTGATTTCAGGTGGGATGAATGATAGTTTGTGTGCAAATCATAGAATGAAAGAAGATGGTCTAGTTCCCTAGATTTTTTCCCCAGCCTCTTTAAAATTCTAAGGAAGAGAGAAACAGAAGTCTTTTTTTATTGTTATATACTTCATTTCTAGCACAGAGGAACTAAGATTTTCTTAAATATCATAAATATGACTGGAACTCTTCCCTTTCCACTTGTCTCTCTCTGTCTCAAGGTTCGCTTCTCTTATATGCGGATGAAATATCTCTTCTTCTCTTGGCTAGGAGTATTTATTGGCAGCTGGATTATTTATGTTCAGTACTCATCTTACACAGAACTTTGCAGAGGGCATGACTGCAAGAAAATAATAGTAAGTATATTTTTTAAAAAGCAGGTTTGTTGCTATTCTTGACTGGCTCTTTCATCTTTAGTATTTTCTTATAAATTAAATATGAGAGATATGTTATGATAGAGTTAACTAACTTTTGCTGTTGCACTTGTCTAATAAGATATAGTGGTAGTTTATGTTCTTGGTTTTTTTTTGTCATCATCAGAAATAATATTAGAAAAAAAATACCTGATGTAGCTTACTTATTAAAGTTATCAAATCCCAGTTCACTGGAGACGAAAAAAATGTACTGTTTAGGAATTATGTGAAGGAATACAATAGTGAATCAAAGAACATAGACAGAGATCTATATTTAAGGAGCTTATATGATAACATGTTTTGTTTGCTGCTAGTGAAAATTATAGCAATTCTCACATATACTTTTTTTCATTTTTCCAGTGTGATAAATACAAGAGTGGGGTTATTGATGGATCAGCATGTAGTAGCCTGTGTACAAGACAAACACTTTATTTCAGAAAATGTTTGTCAACCCAACCCAACAATCAGGTATGACATTCTGATTTATTTTTTTTATTTCAGAAAAAAACATGGAATGGTAATACTGTGTAATTTTACGTTAAATAATGCTTCAGTTGAAAATAGATGAAAATGGATTTCATATA